TTTTTTTTTTTTTTTATTATTATTTCTTAAGCCTATATTCTGCTCTGGGAAGCTCAGGGGGGGGGAAGGGAGGGTTTTTGGGAGGGGTGTGGGGTGGGGGTTTTTTTTATATGTATTGTTTAATTTTTTTTTTCTTTTGTATATGTTGTTTTTTGTTCTGTATTGTTCTTGTTTTTTTTTGTAAAATTTATAAAACTTTTAATAAAAAAAAAAAAAAAAAAAAAAAAGAAAGGAGAAAGTCAGCCAACCTGTGATGCCAGTCCCCGTAGGTGAGTCTCTTCAAGGCGTCCTTTGCGATGCGCACCATGCGTTCAGCCATACCGTTGGTGACGGGTGAAAAGGCGCAGACGTGGCATGACGAATCAGTTGCCTGTAAAAAAGCTTGGAATTCGGAGGAAGTGAATTGAGGGCCGTTGTCGGACACAATGACATCTGGCAGCCCGTGTGCAGCAAAAATCCCCCTCAGTACCTGAATAGTCTTTGCAGTGGTGGTGGATGAGACAGGTACAACCTCAAGCCATTTTGAATGGCTGTCAACAAGGACCAAGAAGAACTGGCCCTGAAAGGGCCCAGCGTAGTCAATGTGCACCCTAGACCATGGGGACTGTGTTTCCTCCCATCTATGCACAGGAGCTTGGGGCATCTCTGGGCGAGATCGTTGGCACAGGTGGCATGCATGCACCTTAGCCTCAATATCTTTATCTAAAGCAGGCCACCACAAGTGGCTGCGTGCAAGAGCCTTCATACGAACAATGCCAGGATGACCCTCGTGGAGGGATTCTAAGACCCTAGTCCTCATTGAGGTGGGAATGACAACTCTGTTTCCCCAAAGCAGACAACCCTGAGAAAGGGACAGTTCGTTCCTTTTGGACCAGAAACTCTGAAACTCAGGACTAGGGCAGTGCTCAGGCCACCCGGACAGGACCCAGGAGCGGACACGTGAAAGTGTGTGATCTGTACCTGTTTCAGCGGTAACATCCCTGGCACTAAGAGGGAGCTCGGGCAAGGCTTGGATTGATAGAATGTTGACAGCTGGCGCAGGGTCAGCTTCTACTACTGGCAGGGGCAACCTACTGAGGCCATCAGCATGGCCCATTTCTTTCCCAGGCTTGTGGAGTAATGAAAAATCATATGCAGACAAAAAAATAGACCACCTAAGCATTCTAGGGGAAATGATGTGGGGAGTCTGCTTACGTGTGGTAAACAGTCCCAGCAGAGGCTTATGGTCAGTGAAGACCGTGAAATGCCTGCCATATAGAAAATCGTGGAATTTTTTAATTCCAGCAACAACAGCCAGAGCCTCCCTGTCTATCTGAGCGTAGTTGCGCTCGGCAGAAGACAATGTTCTGGAGTAGTATGCAATAGGAACCTGAGTTCCATCAGACCTGAGGTGACTCAGGACAGCTCCAACCCCGTAGGGGGACGCATCACAAGCGATGCACACAGGAAGAGACTCGTTGAAATGTGCAAGAACACTGTTAGAAGTGAGCAAGGCCTTGACTTCTTTAAAGCAAGCCTCATGTGCTTGTGACCACAGCCACACAGCTTGTTTGTCTAGTAGCCTGTGAAGAGGCTCAGCTACACTAGCTTTATGTGGAAGAAAAGAATTGTAGAAATTCAGGAGGCCTAGGAAGGCCTGAAGTTCGGCCTTAGACTTTGGCCTGGGTGCTTCTAAAATAGCAGTTAGTTTGGATTCAGCAGGATGAATCCCAGCAGCATCAATTTTGAATCCCAGAAATTCAGTAGAAGGCACCCCAATCTTGCATTTGTCTTTTCTGAGCTTGAGGCCTGATTTCCTGAATCTTAACAGGACAGCCCTAAGCCTTTCAGCTAGAATGTGTGTGGAGTCTCCTGCAATCAAGACATCGTCAAAGTAGGGGCAGACCCCTGGTATACCTCGTAGTGTGTTTTCCATTACGCTTTGGAAAATCCCAGGAGCGACATTCACTCCAAACTGTAGCCTTTTTACTTTAAAGGCTCCCCTGTGGGTCACAATGGTCTGAGCTATGGCAGCATCATCATCAACAGGCAGCTGTTGATATGCTTGAGCTAGGTCAAGCTTTGCAAAAACACGCCCCCCCTTGAGAGAGGCCAGGATGTGACTGACCACAGGAACAGGATAGGCATGTTGCTGCAATGCCTTATTGAGTGTGCATTTGTAATCAGCACAAATGCGAATGTCCCCATTTGCCTTTAGAGGCGTGACAATGGGGGTCTCCCACGGGCTGGAATCAACAGGTTCTAGGATTCCCTGTTGGATTAGTTTGTCTAATTCAGTATCAATCTTACTTTTTAAAGCAAAAGGGACCCTTCTTGCTTTAATCCTAATGGGAGTGACAGTGGGGTCTAGCTTTAAGGACACAGGTGGTCCTTTGAATGTGCCCAGCTGGGGGCTGAAAACATCTGCAAATTCTTTGCAGACTTCCTGTAGGTCGAGTGTTTGTAAGCTGTTGAGTCCTGTGACGTGTATCCCCAGGGCCTCAAACCAATCGAGTCCTATGAGACTCGTTCGTTCACCCCCTACTACTAATAAGTCTAGTGGACCTTCAAAACTCTTGTATTGCACGTTAAGGGTGGCCTCCCCCTTAACACACACTCTTGAGTTCTGAAAATCTGTTAATACAATATCAGAAGGCCTTAACTTGGCCTTAGTCCCACTACTGGAACAAATCTTCCTAAATGTATGCAATGAAATAATGGAAAGGGCAGACCCTGTGTCTAGTTCCATAGATAATGGAACCCCTTGTAGCTTCACGTTGAGTGACAGCTTTTTCTTCATGGGCTTGTGTGTGCCTGTTCTACAGATGCTTCTTCGCGAAGCACAAAAACCTACCCTATTCTGGCTGGGGAATCTGGTACCCTTCAGGCGTTCTTCTTGGGGTTGTGCCTTTCGTCGGCCCAGACACACAGCTGCAATGTGCCCTTGTTTGCCGCATGCCCGGCAGGTAGCGGAGCGGAACTTGCAGTCGGTTCTCCTGTGGCGACCTCCACAGCCGATGCACTTGAGCGGAGCCGAAGAGCTTCCCTTCTGGTTCTCTTCCTTCGCGGGGTGTAGACGGTCAACTTCTTCATCCAGATCCTCCTCGGAGTTTCGTCGGACGTCTTCCTGGTGCACGGACGCACCCTCTGCACTGCTTCTGATCGGCAGCATGTTCTTGATGGCGCCGCCTGCTGCTTCTTCTGCGGTGACTTCCCTTAAGGCGTCTTGGAAGGATAATTCTTCCTTAGCGAAAAGTCTCTGTTGTAGCTCTCGATGCCTTAACCCGCACACGAATCGGTCCCTCAGTCGTTCCTCGAGGTCCTTGAACTCGCAGGGCTTGGCAGCCTTCCGTAATGCGGCGATGTATTCCTTGGCTGACTCACCGGACCGTTGATCCCTCTGTTCGAAGGTGTGGCGCCATGATATAACGGACACCTTGGGGTAGAAGTGCTCCTTCAGCAGCTTCTTCAGGTCTGCGTAGCTTACAGACTCTACTGGAACAGGTGCTGCAAGGTTTTCTGCGATTTCGAAGGCGTCTTGGCCGCAAACGCAAAGCAGTGTGGCAGCCTTCAAGCTATCTTCCCTCACTTGGTTTGCCTTGAAGTAGTTCTCCATTCTGGATACGTAGGACTCCCACCGCTCTGGATGTGAGACGTCGAATTCTGAAAGCCTTCCGATTTTCGCCATCTTCGGATCTTCAGGAGACGGGTCTATCAGCCAGCCTACCCCCGAATGCGCACCGGAATGGCGGGCAGCTGCCGAGTCGACGCCGTTCCTCTTCCGCCGCTCAGGACTCCTTGGGTAAGCTTACACTTCTTCCTTTCCAGGTAGTGCAAGGCATCCCACCTTCGTCGCCAGTGTTGAGTCCGTGGCGGGAAAACAGACACGAGAAGCAGCTGGAGTTCTCAGTTTCATTTATTCAGCGTTCAGCTTACAGGAAGATGGCTTCAGCCTCGCCCAAACGCCTCGCAGCCTCTTATATAGGCAACTCCCGGGTAAATGGGTTACTTTTCCCGCGCCAGCACCCGCGCATGCGCACGGCGCTGGCGACAGCCTGTCTGGTCCCGGGCAGCTTTGCACCTGCCCGGGACTGCCTGCAAACGCCCGAGCCATTTGCAAAGGCTCGGGACATAACAACTATTATTGCTATTGTGGTATGTATTTACGTAAAATCCCCTGCTTTGTTTCAATTTTATACAACTGATAGAATTTATCTAATTTTTCAAGTCTAGAAACTAGTGTAAATGCAAACAATATGCTTGTTTTTAGTTATATGACTTTAAATTTATGTATTTTTTTTCTTGATTTGATTTCTAAACCAGATTTATTTTGTACAATTCAAGATAGGGTATATAATCTTCCCAACTCTTTTTTTCCCCATAACAACCACTCTGTGAGATAAATTGGGCTGGGAGAGAGTGACTGGCCCAATCTCCCCCAACTATCTTCCATTCCTAAGGATGGACTTTCCTAATTCCTAAGGATTTGGGGTCTTCTGGTTGACCACCTTAACACTAGACAAGTGGCCTTTCTAAATAAAAAATATTTTCTATTTAAAATAATTATTTACATACAATTTTAAATTACAAATATAATTTTGATGGAATTGAAACATGTGAACTGTTATGGAAACAAAGAATGAATTCCCCATTGCTATAGTATCAACTCTAATACGTTTTACCCCATTGGGGACTAGAAATAGCAGAACATAATGATGTTGTTTTAACCTAGAGTAACTAATGGAGGGTAAATGGAACCTATTACCATTAGCATCTGCATCTGAAAAAGTATCTTTCCTCCTTACCTCCAATTCTCCAGCATTCACACCCCTTTCATGATGATATGAACCAAGATCGATTCTTGACAAAAGCAAAGCTGAAAACATTAATGCAGTGTGGGAAAATAAGAAGCATAAATAATCTCACTTTGGTAACTTGGAATACAATTCTTCTTTTCTTCCCTTTTAGGTAAGATCAATTCAGGGAGAAATATTTAAAAAAAAAACAGCAGTTTGCTCTCATTACATTTTCTATGTAGTCCTTTTATTAGTTTGGCTCATGATCTAAAAACATGGAAGCTCTAAAACGATGGTGAAACAATAGGACAAGAAAGCAAATAGACACACCATTTTAAGATACTGGAAAGACAGTAGTTTTTAAAGCATTTTGATACCTCTTTGAGTATATGCTTTTTTTTTTGAAGATGTTTAAGTGCAACCTTTTTTGACAAAATTAGCTTTGTCCAGCAAATGCTGTCCCAAACAATTTAAAATGATACTGATATAATATGTGCTAAAATGTGACTCAAAATAGACCAGCAGTACAGCTTGTGCCCAGCAAAAACTGTTGGCTGTATTTAAGTGCAAATGTTTTGAACAGCAAAACCAGAACTTTAGGCAATAGTACATGATGACAGAATCCAGGGCAAGCCACTAAAAGGCAAAACCACAGTGACATATGATACATATCCTTACATGCTTTCATCCTGATGCATGATGCAACAGTACATGTGTTGTATTTGTGAACACTGTTCTAAAGGCCCAAGAGAAGCAAATTTATTCTACTGAAATACAACTCAGCTACATTAGCCTGGCTTCCCTTTGAGACTTAGTTTATTTACAAAAAACAATTAAAAGCCTTGAAGTTGATTATTCTTCTGCAGAATTAAGTAAGCATATGGTTTATAACAACTTAGGCTGCATTATAACAACTAGGTTGCATTAACAGAGGGATAGGATCAATATCATGTGAAGTATCACTTTATAATGCCTTAGTAAGTCCACACTTGGAATATTACATTCAATTTTGGTCGCCACAATATAAAAACGATGTTGAGATTCTAGAAGAGTGCAGAGAAGAACAATAAAGACAATAAAGTGGACTGGAGGCTAAAAGAGATGTGGAACAGTTGCAGGTATTGGTATGTCCAATGACATGGTAACAGTGTTCCAATATCTCAGGGGTTGCCACAAAGAAGAGTGGGTCAACCTATTCACCAAAGCACCTGAAGGCAGGACAAGAAGCAATAGGTGGAAACTAAGGAGAGAACCAACCTAGCAAAGTTTATTTTTCCTCATAAACCATAATCAAGTCTCTGGAGTGTTCTCTTTCTGTACTTTGCTCCAACTGGAAAAAAAATAAGCTTACAATTTCATCTCTGCCCATTCTAGTGCCCATTCAGTTATATAATTCCAGCATATCTAGGAGACATCACTTTGGTTAATGTCACTATTGATTCTAAACTGACCTACCAATAATAATTAAATGATTAGGTAATTTATTTATTAGGTATAATAAAAGAAAACTAGGGTGCTCTGCCACAGTAAAAAAAAACACAAAACCCTGTTATAACAAAATTACCCTCCTAAATCCGGGAAGGGCAGCTTTTCTCCATATTCCTTTTTTCTCAGATCTTCTTCCAGAAAAGCTGGAGGGTGATCTGGTGATGACGCTACAATGAGCAGAGATGAAATTGTAAGCTTATTTTTTTTCCAGTTGGAGCAAAGTACAGAAAGAGAACACTCCAGAGACTTGATTATGGTTTATGAGCAAAAAAGAAAACTTTTTAAAAACTGAGGGAAAACAATGTTGCCAAAAACTTATCATTTTTGTCACTAAATTTAAGCATGAAGTTTACCTGATCAGTATTAAACAAGCAGCTCCTTGAGAAAAATTGCTCAACTCTGAATGTAATTAGAATTAGTATTTGGAAGGATGAAGGGAATTTATGAGAATGTATATTATCACTAATGTTGTGATACTTTAATTTAGAGCTGAAATATTGAAATATTGCTCTTCTTTAAAAGAGAAAAAAAGTCCCATTTGTCCAATGTCATGTTTTCAATAGATGTTAGCACATATTTTGGGGATATTATCAAGTAAAAAAGTTCAGCATTTCTCAATCTGAAGCACGATTGTAAATGATCTTCTATTTTTCAGTCATGATTAATAACTTCTTTAAAACTATTTGAGTTTAAAAAAAATATGCAAACATTTTTATATAAGTAGTTTGGCTTGTTTTTTGTTTAATTCATAGCATGGATGTCTAAAATAATACAAATAGACCAGAACTTGCATTTATGACTGATTCACATATGTAGAATTATTGCCTGGTAAGTAACAGCAGAAGCACCAAATTTCCATCAATAAACTATTACCGATCAAAGAACGAAGAAAGGGTGCTTCAGATCAAGGACCCAATATTCTTAGAAGTCTACCCATACTTGTGAGTCTGCCAGCATTTCTTCTAATGCAGAGGTGTCAAACTGCCAGCCCGTGGGCCAGATGAATCATAATGAAACCACATCCACCCCATTGCCAGCAATGGCAAAAAAGTTGCGATATGTCACAACACATCATGTGACGTTGCGAGTTTGGCACCCTTGTTCTAATGGGATAGCATATATACATGCATTCCCTTATGCAAAGGAGTGGTAAAAAGAATATGACATGACCTGCAATCATTTCTTCTTACACACATTCAAATGTTATATGGGCCACAAACGGGAACAAGATATATATATGTCTTTGGCTATTTGGGTTTTCTCCCGTGTCAAATTGGAAGTGTCTTGGTGACATTTCGACAAAGTCCCATATATATATTTAACTCTTAACATCTGGCTTTATGCATTTCTGCTGAAGGCTGTGATGATGTCATGTCATCCATTGGAATTGCATTGTATGATGTTTCTTTGTGGTTCTGGACATGGTTCTCATTGGCTGCCATTGGATTGTAGTAGGATAGATTTCCAAAGTTTGGACTGAAAGGTTCGGGTATAGCATCTAGTCGCAGAACTGCAAGATATACATTGACAATTCTTACACATGTGTTAAATAATACATTTTTTGACAGAATGTTAAAGACATGAGTTAAAGCCGAGTTCTGCCTACAACAATAAGTTCAATATATACATGCAATTATGTGGATATCCCCATGTATGAAATATCTTTTAGGAAATGCTTTTGTCTCAAGTGACTTGGAATTTTATATTCATTCATTAATTCACTCAGATAGCTGCCCACTTCTTAATTGCAAAAAAAAAAAAAATGTGGTAGTGCACCTACTTAAAAAACTAAGCATAGGAAGAAGTAGAAGTTTGGAAAGTAGCAGGTCTGCCCTCTCACTCATGATAAAACTGTGGAGAAAAGCCTTAATGCAAGCACTCCTGTCATTTCACAGCAGCAGTCAGAAACCAAGGCCTTCAATCCAATGACCTGGCATTTGGGATGAGTTCAAGTGACTAGAAAGCTGAATTGGTATGATATTTCAAATCAACCTTCTCCAAAAATAACCTGATCTCTTTCTCATACTATTTTTCCCTCTGCCCATCTCACCTTGATATTCCTACCTGCCCTCAATCCCATCAACTCCAACCTTCCAGATTCAACCTACCTGCCCCCACCTATACTACCACCATCTAGCCCACAGGAAATCCCTGATAGCTGCTTCTAGACACAACTCAGGAGCTTCCCTCGGTGTCTATAAGTAATCTAACCATTGAAACTCTCTCCCATCAACACATCCTCATCTGTCTCAATAGGATTCCCATCATCAAAGCACCTCACAATTGGATAGGAGCTTGGTTGTTTTCTTGTAGATGTTTCATTACTAAATTAAATAACATCATCACCCCTTCCTCTATGTCACAGGTGTCAAACTCGATCATATCACATGATGTATTGTGACATATTGCAACTTTTTTGCCTTTGCAGAGCTGGGGTGGGTGTGGCCTCCACGTGACACCCCTGCTCTATGTCTATCACCCAGAGAGTGCCAGCTATCTTACTCCCTCTAGTACCCCAATAAAATTGCTCTGCAAGGCAATCCACCTCATACTAACACAGGCTGAAATTCTTTATCAAGAAAGCTTTTGAAAAGCAATCCATTGCTAAAGGCCCTATCCAAATGGACAAGAGTATTCAAGGTGAAATGAGAATGAAAAGACTGTTTTCAAAGCACAGGTAAAAGATTGAATTTGCAGTGTGAGAAAAGTAACAACTGGCATCTAAATGTATTGCTATCACATTCTGGCAATAGAACCAACCGGAAGTAGTGATGAACCCTAAAGCAAAAATGGTCTTAGCTGGCATAAAGAGGAAGAGGAACTCAGAATGTATATATTGCATAGCTTCCTTTCCTCCTCTTTTTAAAATGTATCCTTTAAAATGACACATCTCAAAAACTTGCTTTCAAACAACAAAATCCATTTGACTCTTAATGACTCCAGTTCTTGAAATAGATTATTACCTGGATCATTTCTTGTGTCATCATAAAGTCGCTGATGTCCAAACGATTCAGATTTTCTTTTACCATAGATTAAATATCCAACCAGGCCAATCAGTGCAGATCCTAACATTACTCCTACAATTGTTCCAAATATTACCCCTCCATTACTATGATTTTCTGGAAAACAGATAAACATAATCATCTTCAAGAAAACAACATCTGGTACTGATGAAAATTTGTTTTGTTTAATTCAGAATCTTTCAGGAATAGACACAGAAAGAGTTCAAATGAATGCTGTCCTAAACATTTACTCCTGCATTTTCTTTTGGTTATTTAATGAAAAAGATTTTTTTCCTTTAAAAAAATACAGAGGCAAAGGTAATGTTGAAAAGTTCATGTTAAGGGAGAAGAATATCATACAAGGTGGCTGAGGAGTAGATATGAATATTCTGGCTTTCTTTCTACAGTCATCTCTTTAGCAACCCATAGCCTTCCTTGGAGTTAAAGCCTCATGGAAAAAAACTAAGAATAAAATTCTATATTTTATTTGGATTCCCCCAACACTATATTAAGTAAGGTTGTTCTCAGTTTACAACCACAGCTGGGACTATAAAATTTGTTGTTAAGTAGTGCAGTCATTAAATGAGGTATCACATGAATGCAGCCAATTTTACGACCTTTTTTGCACATTCATTAAGTGAAAGATCATGTCACTTGTTTTCATATTTTCACTTGTCCAACAAAAAAATGGATTGACTTGTTTTTAGAAGAGTAGTGCAGACTTGTTCCATTCTATTACAAGGATGTTCAATGTGTTGAAATTTTGGTAAGAATATATTTATTGATTCACTCAAAATTTTGATTCAACTAAGACCAGGATTACTTAAGATAATATGTGCATCAATTAGATTCCTTTATAATATTTACTTTCTACAATATAAACAGCTCTGTTTCTAAGAATGATTTGCCAGATGTCAAAAATTGCCTTTAAAGTCAAATGACAGTAAGCTGTCTTCTGTAGATGCAGTACAATTGCATAGTTCATAACTTTGGGTGGTGACATAAATTAAGGACAATTAATTTTCTTACCTTTTGGGGCTTCTCTTGCTACTGTAGACCCACCAGTTGCTTTGGGAGGCAGATTTGCTGTTGGAACACTTGTTGATAATTCAGTTGTAACAGCACTACTCTTAGTGGTTAGCAACATAGCTGTTGTATTTGATAGATTTTTAGTGGGACGAAATGTTAAACCATCTACTTGAGTTGTGTTATGGGAAACCGTGGTCGTGAAACTGATGTTAGGGGCAGTTGTGGTGACACTGTTTGTTTCAGGTTCAAATGACTTGAAGTAAGTGGTGGCTTCATAACTTCTAGAAGTATTTATAGGCATTCCCGAAGAGGATACTCTATGCTTTACATCTTTTGTAGTTAAAGTTGGTGGATGTGTTGTTGGTAATAACACACTATGAAGAGATGATGTTGGAGTCAGGGTTGAGGTGGTCTTGTTGCTTGGAGTATTGCTTTCTGTTATAGTACTATCATTTAGACTATCACTGGTATTGCTACGTTCTGTAGAAGTTCTGTCAGAGGTCACATTAAATGGAGTTGGACTCATAGGTGTGCTGCTTACACTGCTTATTGAAGATGTAGAATTAACTGCATCTTCACTGTGATTTCTGGCCAACTGCAGGCTAATCAGCAGCAGCATGAAAAATATGCCCTCAGTTGTTCGCATTCTTTAACAGCCTCAGTACTTGTTTCTTGGTATACGGTGCCTAAGGGGAACATGTTTAAAAATTCATTGAATTATTGATGGAATTTAATATATTCACAGAGAACACCTTCCTGTTCTACTGCTGATATCCTGAATGGGACTAGGAAATTCCAATAAATCAAAAATAAAATGTGTCATTTGTAAATGTGAATTGTTCATATATTTTTTTCATGCATTGGAAACCAATATTTTCCTGAGATACATTTATGTTTTGTATACACTCAGGATCTGTGTAATTAGGATTAAGAACAGGGTATCCAGGTCAAATTTCCTGATGTCCTAGGGAGAGTCTGTTTTTTTATTATGTAGAATGTTAACATAAGAATGTTTATGTATTTAGTGCCATCTGCTTTCAGAAAACTATAGTTGAAGTGGGGGAGGTAGATGACTAATTTCATAGCCAGGGACAGTGGAAGCCTGGTTGAAGGCAATTCCGCTTAATATAAACCAAAGACATGCACATGAAGCCCATTGATAAGAAATGCTAAAATTATGTTCTTATTTCCCTTTCTACTAATATCCTTTCCACAATCTACTAATAGGTCAGATTTACTGCAATCTCTATCTGGCCCAATTTAATGAGATCCTGATAGGGATGCATCTATTCATCTAAATCCATTTCATATTATTTTAAATGAATTGCATCATATGTCAATTTTCTCAAATATTTGTATCATCCTTTAGTGGGTTTTTTAATGCAGGAAGACCAAGGGTGTGTCTATAAGCTAAAAGCCACATAGAAGTCAGAATATATTTATCATCTTTCATATGTTATGTTTTAACATTCACAGTCATTTTATGTCACTCTGAATGCTACAAGAAAACAGCACCTGCAACTAATTTATTCCTTATTAAATTTTAGTCCCCATCTTAATTTGAATATTGTGACTATTTTTCTCTCACATCCTTATTATTCAGAATATTTTTTTCCTGTTACCTGAACAAATTTATGAACAGCATTAAACATCTACCATTACTTTTTTGGGAGAAATTATAGATGTTTAATCCTGTATTTCCCCATATTTTCTAAGGTTTTTTTTTCCTTTTGCTATTACACATTAACTAGAAATTGCTTTCTGTCAACCTCATTTCATTGCCTTTGCTTTCTGATGTAGACTTAAGCAAAAGTGAAATTAAAACAATCAGATTTTTTTTTTTTGAATTGTGAATAATTTCTCAGACTAACATGACATGTGTACTACACTTCCATTAATATCCAGCCTTAGTTTCAGCATCTGTTTAATACATCACAGGCTATTTTTGTGAATGCAATCAGACTACATTTATAACAGCACTCATTTACTGGCTTGTAATTATTTTGTCATTCTAGCCAAATACATACAAAACTAATCATAGGTTACTGTTACTTTTATTATGCATTTTATCTAGCTAGTTCTATTCCAAATGTAGCTATTATTCTTGTTAATTGACTCAAATCAATTTAGTTATTTTTTCTCCATAAGTGAAATTATCCAATATATAATTAATGTGCTTAATCTGGGTTACCAATTCACAGCCTGAATGATAAAATTATTTGTCATACTCTGTAGTATTTGGTCATAGCTAATAACTATAAAACCAAAAACAGAAAGAATAAAACACTAATGTGACTTTTTAGCAACTATTCAAATATTATTTTATCATTTAATATTAAGCATGTTCAAAACACACATCTTTTAATTTTGCATAAATATTTCTTTTGTACATGAAAGCAACTGGCAGTGTAAAATTAAGACTTTATGCATATAAAAAGAAAACCAAGCTGTCCAGATTTACTTTTAGGGTAAGATCTTCTAAATAATAAAATAAATTTCTTTTCTTCTAAAAGTGTTATATACACACATGCACACACACAAAACCTGATATATATGCAGGAAGTTTTTCAGACAGATGTCTAATTGATTACACCTTGACATTTTTTAACTGCTATACTGCAGTTTTACTTTTTACAATCTCTTTTGCCTTGCAGCCCCCAACTAGGAGCATTAAGCAGGCTCAAGTTGAACTGCGAAACATTACAAATCCAAATTTCTTTTTCTGACAAAGAATTAAAGAATTCCCAATTTTTAAATTTAATTCTTTAAATTTAAATTAAATTTAATTAAATTTAATTCCCAATTTAATTCTTTAATTCTTTGTCAGAAAAAGAAATGTGGATATATATATATATATATATATTGATTAATTTCACTTGTTTACCACCAAATGCAGAATGACCTGTGGTGGTTTATAGTATGCACACCATGAAAGAGATATATTATTAAAACAGTCCAAAAAGAAATATTAAACAATAGAGTCAATAAAAAAATAACCAGCAGCACCAATACAATCAACCATAGCAACATGACAATAATCAACAATGACCTGAAAAAAGTTCCATCTCAGGCAGGCTTATGGAATGACCCCAGAGTCAGTGCCGGTCTGAACTTTGGGGAGGCAGTTACATAAATCACTGTCTAAGGGCCTTACAGCTCTCATCTATCTCGTATGTGGAGTAACATTTACCATCAACTGATGGACTGTATCTGGGAGCTAAGCCACTGAGGTCATTTAAGATAAAAATTAACAGTATGAATTGTGCCTAGAAATGTAATGGAAGCCAATGCAGTTCCCCAAAGTGTAGGCCTTACCTTACTATAGCAGCTTTCACCAAGAAATGGACAACTGAATTCTGCATCAGTGGCAATTTCCAAATAGGGTTCAATGCATATGAAGTGCATTGTGGTCGTCTAATCTGATGCATGAGTTTCTGGGGCTATGGCTTTAGCAACTGGTGTCTTTAAATTCAGGCAATCTGTTTGTGAGTTCTCAGCCTTGATTTGGCTTGAATTTACTATGAGATGCTAAGCCCATATCTTAAAGATCATTAGACCATTACTCCTCTTTCCCTTCAGAGGAACTGTAATAATAAATACGTCCAACAGGAAACTAATTGAAAAAGTAAATAAAAATAACAATAAATGAAACAGCTTATTCTCAGTTTAAAAAAATATAATTCAAGCCATTAAGCACTAATCCAAGTAAAAAAAGCCCACGTACCACTTCCAAACTAGAGTCACACTTAGACTTTAGTAAGTCTCTTAATTGTTACAAGTGTTGTAACAATCTCTTCAAAAGATGATCTACATGTCTTTGTTTTCATTGCCATGAAGAAGGAATACACACTTATCAGTTATTTTTTTTTCTTTCTTTCACTCTCACTGTATAAAAAGGGGATCTAGCTTGTATTAAATGTTTACAATTAAATATAATCTTGTTTTAAAGTAAATAACTTTAAAGTTAAAATATCTTATATGCATGGAGGTTAAAAGTACTAAAATATAATGAACCATGCATATAAAATTCTGGTTATGATCTCTCTTTTTTCCTTTCCATTGTAAACTTTGATTGTCAAAAGGTGTTTTTTTAAAACTACTTCATTATATCCACTGGAGAAATGCATATATATATATATATATATATATATATATACACACACACATATTTTTACATTGTTATGAAAAAGTGTTAACCTGCAAATGATGAAATCCAAACTTTGAAGTTGACAGGCAGTGTAATAATAATAATAATAATAATAATAATAATAATAATAATAATAATAATAATAATAAATAACCCAGCCAGTATGTTGACAACCAGTAATCCTCTATGTACATGTAGTGAAAACAAATTAGCATTTAAAGTAATACTGTGCTACATCAGCTACAGTTTCACAAATCTACACTTTCTACCAATGAATGCAAAAAGGAGTTATAAACAAAATATCAGTTAAATATGCTAGTTTTGCATTTCTTTAAGAATTGTCCAGAAGTGTGCCAGATCATTTAACTGACATTTAACCTAGCTGACACAAACAGAAGTTTTTTAATCAAGCACACTTACAAAAGGTGACTGCAAGTGAAATGGCTGAATAAAAGCCACAAAAAGAAAATCTCTTACCTTTACAACTCAACAATGTTAGGGAAGTGTTGGAATTATTTGCTTCTAAACTGGAGTGCAATTAGCTTAGTAGTCTGCTGAAAAGAAGAGAAGGCAAGTAATGGAAATGTATCAATGCTGCAGTGGATAGGAATGCAAAGTAGGAATGAAATTAGGTGGGGCTTTATTTCTCTGGGTGTAACAGAGCACCTGAGAACCAGAATGACTGCTTCTTGATAGTCATTGTGAAGGCATACCATTCATAGAATGTGAAACTATTGAAATTAAGGGGCTGGGTAATTCTGATACTTCCACCAATAATGCATGACGTGTTATGTGTTCTATGAGAAAAATTCTTTCAAAACAGAATGGGGAGGGGGGTTAAGAAGGGATTGCCAATTTTGTAATATACACTTTTACTACTTAACATTTTGAGCTGACGATCCAAATGAGTTGTGGTTTTAATTAATTGTCTTTCAAAAAGTTTTAAAAACCAAATTCCAAAATATTTGATTAGAGGACTGTCACTGTTTTAACCAGCCCCCTGTGTTTCAATCTTTTTCAGCTTGAGACAACATTGCTGTTAAACTTTATATCTAAATCAGTGGTTCTCAACCTTTTTAATGCTGCGACCCCCAACCGGTCATAAGTTGAGGACTACTCAACCGGTCATAAGTCGAGGATTACTCAACTGGTGCAGCATCGTTTGCAGAATGGGACTTTTGGTGGGCTCAGCAGGGCAGAGACAGCCTGGACAATTCCTATTGGCTTTTGAAAGCCAATAGAATTAGACTCTATTCAGGAGAGTCTATTCTATTGGCTTTCAAAAGCCAATAGAATAAAAGGGAGTAGCACAGCTAAGGAAAAGGGGGGAAAAAATGGCGGACTGCGTTGTTTGGCGACCCCCGTGAAATGGTCGTTCGACCCCAAATGGGGTCCTGACCCACAGGTTGAGAACCACTGATCTAAATATTGAAACTGAATAGGGAACCAATTTTCTTTGCCTATATAATTTAAAAGAAAAAAAGAAAAACAAATCCTGTCTGTATGTTATATTGCTCTTCTTGTGTACCATACATCAAGGATTGACACAAGACTAAATGACAAATTATATATGCAGCCTACTAATCAAAGAGAGAAAGCTTTTTGAAGAACAACATTTCCATTTTCTCCAGCCCTGTGCAGTGTCCTAAATTCCTAAAATGCATCCCTTCATAGATAATAACTCTTCTAAATGATGATCCTCGTCAGGGAAGTTGAGGAAAGGGGAAGATCACTTTTTAATAAGTAGAACTCTGGGGTTCTTGGTCCTTCCCTGAGCCTTGCAGAATTTCATGACCAAACTAGGTAACATCATCAGTGCTAGAAGTGAGTGGGGTTTGGTCTTATTTTTATACACTATTGGCTTGGCTCTGTCAGTACTGATAGAAGTGTTCTTGCTGATTCCTTAATTAGGTTGTTGTTTACTACTAGCTTGTTTGCCTGCTTTGGTAGACACTGGTATATAAAAATAAGAGCAAGCTCCACTCCCTTCTAGCACTGACAATGTTAACTAATTTGATAATAAAACATCTGCAAGAAAAACACCAGAGAGTACCAAGAACCCCAACAGTTCAACCCTGAACTGCAAATATTCTTTTCTATAAGTAGAACTGTCTGTCCCATTCTAACCAAGAACCATTGTTTTGTTGGGTTTCATGAAGAAGAAAAGTCAGAAGAGCTGCTTTTTGCCTATTCTTTCTACCAATAATTCTCACAATATTTATTTTAACTTTTACAATGGATTAAATCTAAATAAACAAGTATTTCCGCATTTTAAAAACATCTCCTGTAAGGTATGCCTTTATTTCCTTTCCTATATGTGATGACTTTTCAATGTGTCAGGTTATTTAACAGCATATTCAAGAGTCCACTTTGGTAAAGTTGGGTTTTTTTCCAAGTGTTTTGAGGAAGGAACTCAGGTGTAACTGAAATGTGCTGTGTTTGTTCTTAGTTAAAATTCTTGAAGTCTTTAAGGATACTTCATAGACTGTTTCAGATAATTTCTCAGACAAGCTACTCTGCACCAGAACAGAGTACGTTTTTTCCCAAAACCACATAATTAAAAATATTGTAGAATGTCATTATGACAATTCATGATTCCTTTCACTTATTTATTTTTATTTATTAAATTTATATAGCTACCATCTCAAAATATGACTATGAGTAATTATACCTAATATGATATCCAAATGACTTTCATAATGACTGAGGTTCAAATGCAAAAAGAATAGAAAATTAGTAGATAGATCCAGTTCTATGTGCCTTGTCCAATGTGTAACATTTTAAGTAGATGGATATCTATTTCTAAACACCACGATGCCAAAATGAAATATTTAACCACGTTTTAAGTACCACATTTGCATCTCGGGTACAATATTAATGATAATAGTGATGGGCAGTAGTATATAGTAGTAGTAGTAGTAGTAGTAGTAGTAGTAGTAGTAGTAGTAGTAAGAGCCCTATAGCCACAGTGGTTAAGTGCAGTATTGCAGGCATATTCTGCTCACAGCCTGGAGTTTGATCATGCTGGAGCTCAAGGTTGACTCAGCCTTCTCTCCTTCCAAGATCAGTAAAATGAGGACCCAGATTGTTGGGGCCAATATGCAAATAATGCTTACATTGTAAATGTCCCAGAAAACTATGGGGTTGTATATAAGCCGAAAATGCTATTGCTATTGCTATTTCTCAGTGACTACATTAAAAGCTACAATTAGCATTTTAGTGGGGAAAACAATTTCTTCCTCAAGATTAGAATGGTCCCAACTTTGCTAGCTTTTGTTTAAATGTTGTTAGATGCCCAGAGTTCCTATAGTGAACAACCATTTACAATGAATGTATGTATGGATGGATGAATGAATGAATGAATTTCTGTCCTATTACATCAACTTCCAGTAAAGTACTCAAGCTATCTGGGACAAAGGTTTTAAGGTTTCTTTTCCCAGGAAATCTGCCAGGATTAGAGCCTCCATCGACCTATTATTAATCCCTTACTAAATATGTCATAACAAATTCTAGGACACATTGCAAAAGGGCAGGTTCTTTTCTTTAAGATGACCTGACAGGTAACCTGTCATGTTAGCACCGCACAATGCTCTTGGGTGAGAAATTAAAAAACGTGAATTGCATAACATAGCAAAAATGATGTTCAGAAAAGGTCAGCAGAAATCTTCTGCAAGCACTGCTAAGATGGAGCAGTGGCAATGGGGAAATGAAATGGTAAAGCTTATCAGTGCAGTCCCCAACCATCTAGTCTTTCTTTAATGTTTGTAACACTGAAAATGTGGCCATCAAGGCAATGCCTATTTAAGGACACATGGCACTCCTCAGCCACATTGACTGATGGCACCATCTTCTGCTGATGTGATGATTTGTATTTTTAAAACTATTTGGAAGGAGAGGTGGCACTGATGACTCCTAAGTTTTGAAGCCTCAAGTCAATACCTACTTGGCCTTAGCCTAAAGCCAGCCCTGGGGCAGTCATTAGATTAGTGGAAAGCCTATAGATATACCTATCCTTTGTTATTTTTTTTTTAAGTATGACATTTGCAACTTAAAATCAACCAACCTGACTTTTCACATGAAAGCAGATATGCAACTTTTCTTAACTAGTTCTGAGAATGGCCCTTTACTTTAGCAAATTTAATTTCTGGATTTAATGCCTAATTGTTTGCAAAGAGACAGGAAAGGTAAACCACAGAGGTTTCGGCTTTACATGTCTTATGAAATTGGATAAACCCCTATACTACAAAAGTATTCAACAAAATAGAAAATACCATTTTTTCAGAATTCCTTTCTGAATTTGGAATTGTGGACCAATAAACTGTCAATCACCTCAGGGATAAGATATTGACATATATCTCATGGTTTTTTACAGCTACAGTCTTCTTAGAGTTTTGGAAACGACGACGAGCTGTACTTACATATGACTGGGACCTCATAGACTGGGAAGATGAAGAGGTAAAAATCCTTTATTATAGCAGTTTTGATATCAACATGCATTGATTTTCAAGATTGTCAGCTATCATGCAACATGTCTGCCTCCTTGGCAACTTATACTTATTAAATGTCAACTTCAGCTTGATTTCTTTTATACCTAATTATTTGAATGTGTGTGTGTGTGTGTGCGCGCGTGCGTGTGTGTGTGTGTATACACATACCCACATGCATACAAACATGAATAAGATTTCAACCTGACAAATGATCATGAATAATAATAGAATATTGACTGAATTAAGCATTTAAAGAGATAGAGATAGATGATAAAGTTCTTTCAATCACTTCTATATAGAGAGCCATCTTGGGCAAGGCGAGTAGCATCCAAGTTTGAATAGCAAACAAATAAACAAATAAATAAATAGTTTATATATTACATTTTCATGCCAGGATCACCTTTCTGAGAATGTGTTTCCATTTATGATAATGCTAGCTTGTCGTTGCAACCAACCGTGCTCTAGAATTTGGATGTACATGCATATAGTCCACTATTCGCAGTACAGACAGACATATATCCACAGACAAGGAAAACACATCTTCCTTCCCCTTGTCCTTACCACTTTCTACAGGAGGGCGATTGAGAGCATCCTGTCATACAGCACCACAGTCTGGTTTGGAAGCATCATTGCTTCAGGCAGGCAGGAAGGCAGTGCAGAGAGTGGTGAGGAAGGCCGAAAAGATTATTGGCAGTTTCCTCCCTTCCATCCAGGACATAGCATATAATCGTTACTTGAGCAGGGTCCGCAAGATTGTCTGGGACATTACACATCCTCTTCAAGACCTGTTTTCCTTGTTATCTTCTGGGAGGAGGCTCCATGGTATCTGAAGTAGAACATTCAGATTCAGTCACAGTTTTGTTCCATACAGTGTTAACCTGGTGAACTCTAAAGCTTCCTCCTACCGTTATGTATTCAAGATGGACAGTAATTAATATTTATATGTTACTTACATGTAAGGGTATAGGTCTATATATATGTTGTATATAGTATGTTTAAATGTGTGTTGTGTCTGTGTACACTTCAAGAGCAAGCAATTAAATTTCATTTTTAATGTGTGCCATTGTGCCCACAGTAAAAAAATGACAATGAAGGTTATCTATCTACCTATCTACAAGCACATCTGGATTAAACTAAAGCTT